ATGCACATATTTTTGTATTTATGTATGTATTCATGTAAGTATCCCTGTATGACTGGACAAATGACTGAAATATATCAAATATTTTCGCAACAAAACTACCATTAATATACATTGTAAGCTTAGAGTGGCGCATTATGAAATAACGGGTGACGCGCTGATTTCCATATAATTATTCATTTCTATTTTTCAGTGACAATTTAAATGTCCCGCGCGCCCTGATTGTGAACCCCGTACCCGAATGTTTTTCTTGAAAAATATCTTTGGTAATATTTAATTGTTTTAACAGAATATCCCATATCATAATTTACCTGAAGATTAAATGAAGTAGATAAACAGTTCTTATTGTGCATTAGATGTAAAAAAATAAAAAAATCTTAAATAGTACGTATGTAAATTTAACTCGTTCACATCCCCTTAGAGATCTTTTTCATCAATCTGCAAAACATTAGAGATACATAAAATAAAATATTAATATTATTTTATTTTATTATATTTATTAACTAGTATCTAAAAATGGAAATTACTAGATCAAAAGAGACTGTATCAAGGTTAAACGATTGGAGAAATCTCACTGGATGTGAAGGAGTGACGCAATTCTGGGAAAGGTCGCATTAGCCGCCATCTTGTGCAAGAGACAGCTGCGTTTAGGAAAATTATTGTGATTTTAAGTGTTTTTACGGTGATGTGACTACCCTAACAGCTCACTTTTATCCCTAAGGTAAGACCTTCTTCGGTTATATATTTTTTATGTCATAAATAGTCTCATACGTGGAACTTTATCGAGAATATCTTAAGTATGTGGGCTAACGAGGCTAGATGCACGATCCGTCGATAAGATTGCAAATGAAATCTTTCAAACTTGTTTGTGGTCCTTACTGAATACCTTAGAATTCAATAATTCGCACGTGGATTACTCCTCCATTCTTAAAAGATATAATAATATTCCGATGCGAATCCTTTCATCCGGCATCTGCAGCAGAGGAAAAAAATCGCGAATATTTAGTTATTTTTAGTTTTCCTGGTAAATTACCTTGGGCATTTCCATCAAGGAAAACATATTCGGTACGTGGCACAGGGTCTGGAAATGGTTATTTAAAGACCCATTTTACTCTAGGTTCCCTCGACTGTATTTTGTATGCAAGTGAAAGTAACAAGGAAAAAGTAAGTGTTTATTAGGGGAGAGGCTTATGGGTAGGCCTACCTCGGTGAAAGTGTTGAGTTCGACGGTCAGTAACAGCTGTGTGTGTGTGTGGCAAAGAAGTTGTGGCAGTACTATTCGTTTTGGTGATATTCTTACAAGGTAAGGTAGATCTTGGATTGAGTATGTAGTTGGTAAAGCATTTTGTAATAGATTAAGCTGTGTTTTCCATTTATTTGGCCATAAATGTTTGGGCAGTTTTGGAGAATTTGTCTGGGTCTGAAAATCTCAGAGGTTTTATCATTGGAGTCTGAAAGATGTCTAGTGTTAACTATGCTTCTGGTTGGAGTGATGCAAGAATAGGAATGGTATTTCATTCATAAAGGATTTTGGTTCATATGGTGATATGTATCGGTTCCCAGGAGTGGCTCGAATGATTACGAATTAGCCTTGGAGGAGTGCTGTCGCTTTGTAACCAATACATATTCGTTAAAGCTTTAGAAATCAGCGCATAGAGAATGGTATTTTCTCATTCTATATAGGTGATTAACTGCATGGAAAGGAGGGGGGGACAGTGCACACACTGTATACCCACAATAAGCCTTTAGATATGGTCAGTTGGTCAATTTTTGTGATGATATCTGTATCATTGGATTCCTCTCACCATCTACAGTGCAAACTTGTATTATTTATTTGTGACGACTCCCCCCCCACCCTTTAATGACAGCTTGGCCCCGATAGCAGGGGAGGGCATGAAAGGTACCAGGGAAATTACAGGTTAGTTTTATACACAGTCAGTCACTAACATTGCTATATCCCCCCCCCCCCCAAATGAATCCATGAATAGATCTGAGTACCATTTCCCATAGCAGTCTTGATTTTTTAGTCTTTATAGTAGGGGAGAGCATAAAGTATAACAGGAAAAGGACAGGGTAAAATAGGCTTAAGTAAGAAAAGAGAACAAAAATGTGTAAAACTAACACAAAGAATGCGAAAATCTGCTAATGAAACTGCGGAGGTTCCTGCCATTTTTGAAAGTCTACAAACTTGAACGAGCCAAAATTTGAAAAAACAGGAACCCAACCTATTTTTTGGCAAATCTACAACAATTCAAACCTTCAAACCCCAAAAAAGTCCCTGACCTATAACCTTCACCCAAGATGGCAAGATGGAGCTACATTTATACTGGGTTGCTTGCTTCACATCTAATCACTTTTTATTTGTCATTTGAGGCACTTCTTCTACCATACTGTATAAATTAATCTTATAGCATGTTAATGAGGTATTGCAGCATTATTAACCCAAACACCCACATGCCGATTTTGAAACCGCCCGGAAAATATTATTTTCGGCTTGAAAATGTACCGTCGCTAGTGGGTTAGCAATATATCATTTTTACAAGAGCCTAGGAACAGATGAACTACTTTGCGTATTGCAGTAATGAATTCTGCAGTCAGTGCAGTGTTTGCTCTTTGCATGTAAACTTAGCTAAAATTGGGCTTTCACCTCTGTTCTTTTACATATAGCACTTTTAGGTAGCATTTGCACAAATATTGCTATTGAAAAGATTGTCTTGGTTTGTACATCCAATCATTTTTTTTTTTTTTTTTTTTTTTTTTTTTTATGCAACTCCACCACTGCCTCATACTGCATACCATCCGAAAGCACACAACAAATCGGGCAATGCTACCACTGCATGGTGGTTGTACGCTCTCTCCTACCATGAATACGTGAAGAATTCTTTATTTTTTTTCTCTTGCTGACAGTTTGAGGGTGGTAGCTATTTCGATGGTTGTAGAGGCACAACCTCCTCCATTAGACAATATAGAAACTGATTCTCTTGTTATTATTAATATTTTACCCCACAATTTTCCTGGTACCTTTCATGCACTTTCCTGCTCTCAGGCCCAAGAATGTACTCAAATGAAAAATAAGTGAGGTATGTAATAGAGAAAGATGATTGACTCATATTTTTTCAAGACCTCCATGTTGATTTATGCAAAGGGAATCATTAGTATGGACACAACTCTCTACTGTCATTTTCAAGGTCTGCTTTCCAAATTCATGGGTTTTATTTATTCTTTTATTTTTATTAAACTTGCTTCACGTTTTGATAGATTTTCTGCTATTCCTTTAAAAAACTGTGCTTGGATTTTTTTGCCACTGGGAGTTTTGACAACCCAAGTTGCCTTTCCCTGACAACACGCCAGTGGGTAATGTTTCGGTTGGAGTGTTTTGTCAATTCCGGGTCATTTCTAAAACATTATAGTGGTTATGCAAAGAAAATATATATTAGTAACTGTCACAGCTGATATGTGAGCTTATCAAGTGCCTCAAATGCCCCCCAAAAAAGTAATTAGAAACAGTCATTCCAGACAGTAGACAGAAGCAAAGGAATGTTAGGTAAAGGTATGTAGTTTAATCTTTTTGCTATGGACACTGCTCCATTTTGGCTATGCAAATTAAGGTGAAGAGAAAGTTTGCCAGGGCTTACCTAGTCACGTTAAGCTTAATTGTTGAATAACGTTTGTGATGTGGAGTTAGTTTGGTTTATTGGTCAGGACATATTGTACAATTACCATTGGTTTTACCGAAAGATGGGTTAGATTCCTATAGAGTTTTTGAAAGTTGGCACGTTATTGGTAGACTTTTAAAGATGGCGGTCACATCTATAGTTTCATTATCAGATTTTTGCAGGTTTTACCATTTATGTTTGTTCTCATTTCATCTTGTAATTCCCCCAAATTTTCCTTGTATAATTCATGCCCTCCTCTGCTATTAGACTTAGTACACCAAGATTGTTGGTTGATCCTGGTCATTTATGATGCTATATTGTGGGTATGCTGAAGAAATACACAAGTCAGTATTACAGCTTGATATTTGAGCTGTTAAATGCCCAAAATGGCAGAAAAAAGTGATTGAAAACCAAGCGATTCAGACAGCAGAGGGAAGCCATCAAAAAGATTGGTATTTGGTATATAAAAATATATAATTTTCAGTAAGTAGGTGCATTATTTGAATTACAAAATTTTATGAATGGTGTGAATTCCCATAGATTATACATAACAGTGGGCTGGGTTCCTGATATTTGAACTGATCTATGCAGGAAAAGAGTACCATTAGAAATAAAGAAAATAAGTTACTACAAATGCTTTACAGAGAAAAGGTCCAAAGCAATTGAGTTGGGGGCCAGGAGCAGAGTAACTGATTGGGAAATACATCAACCATGGGTGTGGTCACTACATGAACAGTTGCCAATACTTTCATTTATATCATGTGCAATCGAAAACAATAACAGATTCAGGCATTTTACATTGTGAATAATTGAAACAAAGGATAATATTTGCAAGCTTGGATGGCTGTGTGAAAAAAAAAAAAAAAAATATCCCAAGAAATAATATGCCAATGAATGGTATTGCCACAGATAAAGGAGACATGTGTGGAAAACACTACACATAGCTTAAGGCTACTTATGTGCATATTGAGGTGAGAGCACCCCATCAACCCTCCCATTTGGCAATGACAGAAGGGCACTCCTCTTTTATGGTAACTTGCTGAATAGATGTGATGTGGAGTTGGGAGATTTACTGTTAAGATTTGCTCGTTATTGTCGTGGAGTGCTTAGGAGACGGAGGCTGAGGCCCATTGTAGGAGGTCACCCTTATCTTGGACCACAGCCCTTGCCTCAGCTAATTTTGTGTGGTCTTTTCTTCTCCCCCTTTCCTTTTCCTACTCTTCTTCACCCCTTCTGTCCACATCCCAAAGTGCAAGGGCCATGCTGATCGGATGAAAGGCTGGCTTTGTGTCAAACCTGAATGGCCTTTGAGCTCGGTTTCCTCTTCCTCTTTTCCCTTTTCATTACCATACTAACCTAAAGTGCTCTACAACCTTTGACATCTAACATATTCTGTCGTAATCATTAATTCAATTTAACCCTTTTTGCCACAATTATTTTATCCTACTGCTATACCTGAGAGCTTTGTCCCTAAGCCTCATCATTTTACTATATTTTGAATACGCTGCTAATAGGCTTAATTGTTGACACGTGAAGAAAATCTTGGTGCTGAAAATACGGGCAGTGGGTTACGTAAGTAGCTAACATGCCAGGTGAGTGGTGCGTAGGCCAGGCGCAGTCACAAGACTCTGTTCCTCAGACTATGTTATCTCTTTATGATGTAAATAACTCGATAAGATACAACATTGGAAATAGCGTCCTCCCAGGAGCTGTCGCTCTTCCAGTCACGGCTTATGTATGTTACGTTCTACATTCGTGTATCAATAGGAATAATGCTAAATCCCCCTTCTAAGCGCCAAATGAGTCAAATCACTCCTGGTGAGTCTTTTGTCACCTGGCCTTCACTCATGACAGCAAGTTCGCGTCACCCAGCCCTTGGACATTTCACCTGATGACAACATGTTCACATCACCTGGTCCTCGACCCAGATTTTTCCATAACAGGACAGTAATATTATCCATATCGTAGGGGTTAATAATGATTACCTCCCACTTACTTAATTTATTCAATGATCCAAATTGCCATGACTGGCCATGCCCATTCGCTATTGATAAGGAAAGGGTTA